AGAGACCTTCGCCATCGACTCCATATTTGTCCAGCATTACCAACAGGAACCGATCCTCCTCTTCCGTATAGACCTTCTTGTTTGTGGTAGACACAGTGTAGTTGATCTTGACTTGCTGGAGTGGTACGCGGTACATTTCCATCTTCTTGCGCAACATTTTGCGTTGATGATTCATCTTCCGCAATTTATCCTCGCCCTGCTCGATGACACGGAGGTACTTGGGGTAATCTTGGATTTCCGTGTACCGCTCCCAGAATACTTGCGCGTACTCCTCAATTTCTTCCGGCTCTTTGCTGTCCACTTCGGTGGCGATTCCAACGTAGTCAGTACGGCCGAACTTGGCCGAACCGTTCACGAACTGTTGGAAATCCCTGCGATTCCAGTTGGAGAAGCCTTCTTCAGACATCTTCGCCTTCTCCGCCTGCTCATCCTCCGTTAGTGGCACTGCATTGTCGATCTCTTGTTGTTCGAGATCACGTTCGGCCTCGCGTTCGCTCAGCTCTTCTTCCGGACCATCAGGCAGAGGAACCTTGTATCCGATTTCCTTGTGGAAATAGGCCGTCTCCTTCTCTTGCAGCTCCTGAAGCCCAGGCGGGAAGAACTGCCAATCATGGACAGTGATCTGCTTCGGCGCCCGAGGAACCTTGGGCTTGGGATCAGCCGTTCTACCACCAGTTGCCAAGGCCTGGCGATAGTATTTGTCGATGGAATAAAACTGTTCCTTTCGCTCTCTCTTCGCCGGGTTGATCCAGTTGATACCAATGTCCTTCTTGCGATCGGTGAAGTCTTTGCCGTTCCATTCGTACGCACTTTCGGAGCTGAATTTCTGCAAGTCGTCGATACCAAGCTTTTCGTACTTCTTGTTCAATTGCGCAGTCCGCTCCTCGCCCTTTCGCAGAATGTTGTCGATATCATCTTCGGATATTTGGTGTTCCGCAGATATGGTGGTGTTGGCCTGAGTGTTGAAAACATTGGCAGCTCCGTGCTGGATCATACCCAGCAATTCTTCCTTGGACGCGGCATTCTTGGTCTGCTGCTGAGCGCGTCCCTGTTGGATGACAAGCTGGTCGAGCCGCAACTTTTGTGCGGCACGTTCTAAGACTTTTTCTTCGATCGCATTCTCTGTAACAAACCTGAACACCACGACCTGTTTCGTCTGTCCGATACGGTGGGCACGGTCCATTGCTTGCAAATCCGCCTGAGGATTCCAGTCACTATCAAAGAGAACGACAATATCGGCCGTCGTCAGGTTGATACCAAGACCTCCGGCTCTTGTTGTGAGCAGGAAGATGAACTTCTCTGATCCCGGCTTATTGTACTCGTCGATAGCAGCAATCCGGTCCTCGTGGGCCGTTGTACCATCGATGCGGCAGTAATTGTATTCGCGGAAAACACAGTAGTCTTCGAGAATATCAAGGACACGACTCATCTGGGAGAAGATGAGTACGCGACTTCCCTGTTTCTGCATACGCGCCAGCAATTTGTCAAGGATCGTCATCTTTCCAGCATTGTAGATGAGATGCTCGTCGGTGGTGTAGGGTGGGCCAGGCTCTGCACCTTCAAAAAGGTAGGGATGGTTGCAACATTTGCGAAGTTGCATGACGATATTCAACAAACGGGTCTTTGACTCACGCTTGCCGGCGGCGCCATTGACCGCATCGATATCTTTTTCGAGGATCTTCTGATACCACTTGACCTGCATTTCCGACATGGGGACGTAAAGATTGACCTCCTTCTTAGGCAGCAAGCTCTTCTCGACGTCACTCTTGACACGGCGAAGCAAGAAAGGTCGCAGAACACGATGGAGTTGTTGCACGACTGTATCCTGATCGGAGTCTTGTCCGGAAAACCATTGGTCGAATGCCTCCGAATCACCGAAAACATCCGGCAACAGGAAGTTGAGGAGGGCCCAAAGCTCGTGGAGGTTATTTTGAAGTGGGGTACCGGTAATCAGTAGTCGGTTCCTGGAATGGAAAACACGGATGATTTGCGCCAAAGAAGACTCCTCGTTCTTGATCCGATGGGCCTCGTCGATGATGATGTACTCCCAAGCGAACTTCTTAAGGTGCGCCTTTTCTCGAAGAATCATCTCGTAACTAGTGATACAAACGTCGAAGTTCTCATCGAGAAGCTCCTCATTGATCAGCTTGTGTCGCTGTTCTTTGTCACCCTGAAGGACAAGCACATTGACCTCAGGTGTCCATTTTCCAAATTCCCGCTTCCAGTTATCGAGGGTAGATTTCGGGACGGCGATGAGGTGCGGGCCGGTGATATCGCATACATGTCGGAGGTAGCCAAGGAAGGAAATGGTCTGCAAAGTCTTGCCCAAGCCCATTTCATCGGCCAAGATACCTGAAATACCGTTCTCATGCAGCGAAACTAACCAGTTCAATCCTGCAATCTGGTAATCGCGCATTTCTCCCTTGATGAACGGCGGGGAGTCCCGAAAGACCGTGTTGGTTTCGCCGCCGGATTTTTCATCCTTCAACAGCTCGGCGTCTTCTTCTTGCTCTGTTCTGCGACGCCTTTCACTACCTGCACCGCCTGAGCGCGACGAGCCCTTCTTCTTGGCCTTTGCCTCCTCCTCAGCATTCTGTCGGTCAATTTCGGCCATGATCTCCTTGATCCGCGGATTAGGGTTGGTTTCGATGAAATGACGGAATAAGTCGGTTAAGCCGAGGAGGTAGCGAAATCGTCGGATAGAATCATCTTCCTATAGTAACACACACCGTGAGCGACAAATCATCAAGACACGACCATCGCATTGGCGTACCTTCGACTCATCCAAACGACCATGCTTCTTGCCTAAGATACTTTTTCTCATGTGGAAAGCTTCAGACCTCCGTCTCCGGCCATCCAAAGGCGCTGCGTCGCCTGCAACACTGCTCGCCGTGGTATTTGGGTTCGTATCCGAGTCCTAATCTGTGTTAGCCGGCTCATGCGTCAAGCAGATCGCCACGTTATTGAGTCGCGTTTACCGTGTAGTCTGGAGTATCCTGGTAGCCCTGAATTAGGAATATTGTCAGCGGGAGCGCTTTGCCGTTTAACCAAAAACGCGCATGAAGATAATACATGGCGCAAACAGGGGATTTGCGCTAACTCACCGTCATCGGCGCGTCTGCGCTGTCCACGGGCACCGACGTGACAGGCTCAGCATTCGCGTCTGTCATGGGGGTATCTGCCTGTGATGGCGAGTCGGGAGTCGGTTCAACTGAAGGAGCCATCACCATCCACAGCGCACCGAGCGCAGCTGTTCGGTACTATACAAAGCGGGACACGAGTTGATATTAGAACAACCCAGGGTAGGAAGCTATCGATAAGACCCCTAGGAATATGTAAGATCCACGACCTCTTGAAAAGCTGGCTGTAGAGGATCTGGTGGGAGAAATTGAAGTTGGGGGGGCGCACAAAGGAGGTGTGAAAGGAACAAACAGTGACGGATGATGAAAGGACGAAGAAGCACCGCCAGTCGCGCTCATGGGATGGCAAATGGAATTTCGTCGGAGAAGCGCGGCCAGGGCACGCGCTCATTGGACGGGAGACGCGAGGGCGTGACTGAGTCATTTCTGAGTCAGCAGGCGGCGGAAGACCAGTTTCCCCGCTGTGGGTCACGTTACCGGGACAGACGCAAAGAAAGATCAGCTGCGCCAGCGTCCTTTCCGAACGGTCATCGCCAGCCAACGTCCTTTGTTAGCCTGCGGAACTTGTTGTTTCTCCTCTATAACGCCCCCTCTTTGGGCCTGTCTCTTTTAGTCCAGACTATCAGTCATATCTGCCTCTTCCTGATCTTTCTTGGGGTTGCCTCGGAGTTTGCCTGACCCCCTGTTTCCCAGAAGCACGGTTCAAGTCACCCCTCCTAGTGACGCCAACGCTAGTATTTATTGTCAGAAGTTTCCCAGGCAGACTGCTTCTGCCACCACACCACACACCATGGACTCGATGAGATCCCTAAACACGTCACTGCCCAGCTCGACGCCTCGGCCACAACCTCCTGAGCAGCTCCTACAGTCGTTCAAGGCTGCTGCTCTCTCCGTCACGAACCTCTACAAGAATGCTGTCTACGAACAGTCGCAAGCCAAGCAAGCTGGATACCAAGAAGCAATTGAGGATCTACTACACTTCCTAGACCGGGAGAACCTCGGTCTTGGAGACGGGGAGGGCTGGAAAGTTCGGCAATGGGCCACGGAACGGAGTGATGGAAATGGTGCCCCTAGCGACGATGATGAGGTTGAGAAACAAACCAGAGGCGCAACGCCGGCTGCCACCCGCAAGGCACAGCCAGAATCCGAACCGATCCGACAGCCTTCCAAGTTATCGTCGGAGGAGCAAGCTCCAGCTCCGCCGCAGCAACAGCTGCCAACACCTTCGACCCCTCATGCCTCTGAATCAAACGACTTCGATCGTCCAACTATCTTTACGTTCACTGCCGGGCCCACCTTTCCGCAATTCCCAGAACAAGACATGGACATGCAAACCACCGACAGTTCGACTCCAGCGTCTCAGGATGGTGCCCCGGTCAGCGTCTCCGTCCTGCCTCGAAACGCCCGGCAACAGAATCGTCATAATAACTTCACCCGCTCAAACACTCGGTCGTCTCCTCATGAACCGTCCGTCGGGATTGGTTCGAAACGAAAGCTGAACGTGCCCGATTTCTTCGACTTGTCTGGTCTAGGCAATCGAGACATATTTGGGGGCGGCAAACGTGGCCGCTTCACCTAGAAAATATGGTATCGACGAATAGACGAGCATATATTCTCACGGTCACGCAGCGGTCAATTGCATTTTTTTGTGGTTTCTTCTTTGTTTTTCTTTCGGTGCATTAGTAGGAGTATTGCATGTGGCCCTTTGGTGGGCCACGGGTCATCTTTCCGCAGTCATCTTCATTCTATCCTTGTGCTCATATTCTCTTTGCTCACATTATTTCCTTGTCATATCCCATTTCCTTCGGTCATCATTACTATCAAATATAGAGGTTATCAGACATGGCGATACCCGGTGAGGCGGCTAGTGTTATACTAATCGTACGATCCTTTCTATACACTGTTTTGTACATGTTTATTAATGGTGAAGCGCTTGACTTGATGTGCATTCCCGTTACCAGAAGAATCAACGCCAGAGTAGAATATATGGTATAGAGTACATGATATACAAATCGTCGTGGCTTCATCAGTTGAACGCTCTATAAATTCCCATCCCAACTAGTGTCGCAGAGATGGTGAAGAGCCCGAGATGTCGAGATCCCATCTTATACTTGGTTGTTCCTTGCATAATTGCCTTTTCATTCATCTTGAGGTTCTTCAATCCCGAGTAGTAACTGTACACACCGAGGCCGATGAACGCGGCGGATCCTGCAAGCCATCAGATTAGCTACAGTACCATGATTATCGCCCAGAAACTAGAATACCAGTAACTCTGCACGATAGGCAGTCATCATATGCGTCCTCCGCAAGTGCACGCTTCGCGTCCTTGGGCTGGACATCCAAGGCGCTGTTATTCTGGGTAGACGAAGACATTGTTGTAGAATCAACGAGAGACGAGAGACAAAAAAAGGTCTTTTAGAGAGCAGTCCAGACGAGTCTCGATCAAGGAGACTAGCTCGTTGCGGCGAGCTGCAGCCATTCAAAGGAAATGCATGAAAAGGCGGGGATCGGCGGCAGAACGAGGGGCTTTTGGACTCCGCTAAATGGGGGCCGATGGATCACCGACCATCATTGCTGCACCATGACCACCTCTGCCTACTACATTACGCCCCCACCGGTCGGGATAGGTCGCCTTCGCCATCATGAGCGGCCAGATCGATGCGCTCTATATCTATGATGAGCAGAGGCACGCCGTTCCTTCCAATGTCCTGATTTCCAGCAGTCACTGACCTGTCCTCTTCCAGCAATCCGATCGTCGAGCAGGTCTATCGCTCCCGTCCGCCCTCCGCATCGGCCATTCTCCCCCTCTATAACGCCTATTCAGCTCCGCGCCCCTCACTCATCTACTTTCCAAACACAACTCCGCCGGTGACAGTGTTCGCGGTAGTGCAGTCCAACCTGCTGTTCTTGGCGCTGTCCGAGGTTGATACGGAACCGCTACTTGCCTTGGAATTCATTCATCGGGTTGTTGATGTTCTCGAGGACTTCGTTGGAGCACCATTGCTTTCCACCAAGATCCAGGCGAACTATGATGTGGTCGCACAGCTTCTGCACGAAATGTGCGATGCGGGGGTTGTTTGCAATACAGAGCCCAATGCGCTACAGGAGGTAGTGGAAATGCCAGGATGGATGGGGAAGCTGTTAGGCGGCGTTGGATTGCCTGGGTGAGTGCCCACTACTACCGGATAAAGGTCACCATGCTATATACAGTGAACTGACGGCCTTTGTTATGCGCAGATCATCGACACCGATTCTGGGACAAGCCAGTGCCATGAAGCAATCAGCCGCCGCCGCGGCCCAAGGACCTGCGATCCCCTGGAGAAAGTCCGGAGTGAGACACACTTCCAACGAGCTCTATGTTGATATTATCGAGTCACTTTCCGTGACGATGGCGCCATCAGGACGAATACTCTCTGCGATGTCTTCCGGCACTATCGCCTTCACCGCCAAGATATCCGGTGTCCCGGATCTGCTCCTTTCGTTAACAGCACCCGGTGGTCAAAAAGCTTTGGGACGTAAGTTGGAGTTGCCGGTATTTCACCCATGCGTGCGCCTGGCGCGCTGGCGGGAGAACCCTGGCGAGCTCAGCTTTGTACCACCAGACGGTCGGTTCATTCTTGCCGGGTACGAGGTGGATCTCATGCCAACAGACCCTACACTTGACCAACCCCCGAGTCATATGGAGAAGCTTTTCTTGCCGGCTATTGTGGACATCCGTAAATCGCTTGGGCCGACTGGCTCAGATTTTGAGGTCCGCCTTATTCTCAACACAAACTTCCCGGGATACTCATCCTCCAGCCGACCTGGTGTCGGGCGTAGCGGATCAGGCACGTCCACACCCTCTTTTCTCGGGGGTGGAGGCGGCAACTCCTCAGCGCCAGCGCTAGAAGAGGTTGTGGTGACCGTCCCGATACCGAAATCGGTCCGGAACATCACAGACATGCAAGCCAGCCGTGGAGAGGCTTTATTCTCACCGGGCAACGGCGTACTAGAATGGCGCGTGCCGACCAAAGATGCCGGCACTATTTCCGGGACGGCGACGCTCCGGTGCACCGTCGTAGGACACTATGCGGACGACGAGCTGGACGACGATGTCGAAGAAATCGACGCAGACACCAATCTCCTTCAGGGCTACTACGATGCCAACGCGTCTTACCAGAACCCTGAAGCAGACACGACGAAACGCAAGACCAAGAAAAAGAAGAAGAAGAAGGTTGTCAAGAAATCATCTTCCCGCGCAGCAGCAGCGGCAGCGGCAGCAGAAGCCTCAGCTTCCTCGCCCGCTGAACCCCTCTCCTTGAACCCGGAGGATCCCGAACAACTCACACATACTCCTACTCCTGAACCCGAACAATCGCAGACGCTTACACCGCCCGTTCAATCATCCTCGCCGCAACCTCCACCGTCACTTCCCCGGTCACAGTCACAATCACAGAAACAATCACCCAGCCGAGCCTACTCGGATTCCTCCATCTTCCTTTCGGCGCCCCGTAAAACCAAGACCCAACTAAACGCGACACTAATGCCTAACTCGGCAGCGGTGTCATTCTCCGTTCGTGGCTGGCTTCCCTCGGGGCTCAAGGTAGAGAGCCTGAACATCGATCCGCGGCGGAGTCGCGGGCTAGGCGAGGGAGTGAAACCATATAAGGGAGTGAAATATATCTGTATGAGTCGGAAGGGAGTGGAACGGAGATGCTAGATACTACATTGCTATACATCTAACAATTGATCTATTGGATATGACATGTACTTGAGGATTACTGACAACTCCAACAACCATGTAAAACTGAAGAAAATACTTTGAATTTGTGTATGAGTCCGGTTCTGACATTCTCTCGTACTAACAAGATCATGCCATTCACTTTTCGTATCACACATACTATATACATTCTCATGAGAACTATACAACCTATCACTCTTAACAGTATATACACCCACACCTCCCCAATCTAAACATAAGCATAACAAAACGGCCCCTTCGTCGTACTCATCAAATCCTTCATCCTCCTCGGCACTCCATTGGCATACCCCAAATCCACAACCGTCTGCAAGGTAGTATTCTTGCTAGCCGGCTCATTCAAGAACGTTCCCGTTCCCGAGATCGCATACTCCCTACTCTTCAAATCCAAGTTCTGCCAAATCCACCAAACCCGATCAATCATACCATGATGATGCCAGAACGCCGGGTCTCCAGGACTAACATACACATCTCGTCCCGGATCCCCGCCCATACTATAGTGTCCGGAGCCATGGACACCAATCGACCCACTGCCAGGCACACCCTGCATGGTCATCTCGAAGTCCCAGACATCGTCGTTGTCCAGGATAAGCGAGGTAATCTTGGGGTAGGTGTTGTACTTTTGCAGAAGGGCGGTGGTGAGACTGCGCTTCAGGCAACGGGGGTTGTAGTTGAGGGGGTTGGAGACAGCGGCGGTGCTGCCTCCGGGGAGGGAGAGCGCGGCGGGGCCCATGTTCACAGTGTAGTTCTTGAAGGGCCCGCTGGTTATGCAGCCACCGCCAGTGCCAGGGGGCAGGATTATAGGGGCGTAATTGCCGAGGTAGAGGGAGATGTTGCCTTGGTTGGGGATGTAGTAGCCGTTGCCGGACATGGAGGTCTCGGAGCCGTCGTATACTTCGGACGCTTCCATTGTGTGGATGGCGTCGTAGCCCCAGTCCCAGTACCTGTGAGTTGAGGTTAGTTGGGGAGTGAAGGGGTGAGGGAGAAAGAGGGGCTTACGGGAAGTCGCCTGCGTAGTGGCATTCATCACGGAGGGCTTGCTCGAATTCAAAGGTGAAGTAGCGGTGCCATGCGAGGAAGGTTCCCTAAGTCTCTTGTTAGTGCTGGGGGTAGATTTCTGGGCAAGTAACGTGTACCGTATAGTGGATCTCCAGAGTCTGGTTGATATGCGTGGCTAGGAAGTCATCATAGCGAGTCTTAGCACCTGGGGCTAGATGTGACGGGGTGCGCGAGGGAAGCTTCTGCAGACAGAGCACTGAGTTGATGTAGTCTTTTTTCTCGGGCTTCGAGAACGCCCGCCAGTCACGGCGGATGCGCAGAGTTTCTCGCGTGCAGGCCTGCTTGTCCTCGGAGCTGCTGGGGAGGTCGGCCAGAGTCTGGTCAAGGGCATAGCTCGACAATTGCTCGAGCTTGGCAGCTGCGGCAGCCACGGCAGCGTCGGATGCAGCTGGACTGGTCAGAGCCGTCTGGGAGGCTGTGGGCACGGCCCAGGCCTGCGAAGCAAGCAGGCCCAGACTGAGGGCCTTGAGAGCAACCATTGCGTTGGCTTTAGGGCTGTGAGAGGCAGAGGCAGGACAGAACGGGAACACAGCCTGAGCAGAGAAAGAGGAGCCCCCGAAAGGGCAATGTCAGCCCTTTAAGTGTTTTCATCCCTTGCTCAAATTGCCTAGATGTTCGTATTCCGCTATGGGCACGAGACTATGCTAATGCCATTGATGGAGATTCGGATGGCCGGCGAGAAATAAAACGGAGCCCTAATCAACTAGGATGCTGGCCGAGCAAACATGGAGTTCGAAACAGCTCCAATAACAATGGCAGTCTAAGCATTTAGGGCGATGCGCTGTCTGCTCTAGACTTGTCTGACAGCTCCACTATCGGTTCCAGACTCCGCCAGAGTTGACCGGAGGGGATGAATCCACATGAATGGTGAGAATCATGTTTGCTGAGGTGGGATCGGAAGGCTCTGAGCCACCGAAAGGAGAACGTGGATGGTGGATGTTAGTAGTGAGAATGTCGTATATGCAGGGCTGTCACAGTGTTGTACGTCTAGGAAGAAGATGTCTAGAGAAGAGTAAGTTTTGAGAGTATCATACGGTTTGGGACGGAACCCGCTAAGCGATGGCGGCTCGCGGGTCCGACTGTCTGACACCAAACCGGTTCCACCCTCTTTCTTTCTCTTTCCTCCGACAACCAAGGATCCCTCCACCGGCTGGATCGGATCCTTCGATTCCTCCCAATATCTTATAATGCCCTGAAAGTGGAATCGCTGCTCTCAGTGGCTTGACCCGCTCATCGATCGATCCCTGAACGATCCCGCCTGTGGCCCAAGTGTGATCCTCCATCCAAGACCAAACACAGACGATCAGTAAACATTGCGAGCCAGATCTACCAATTGAGCATTGCAGATGCTAAATTTCTGCTGTCTTTGGCTTGCTCTAAGTCACTATTACTAGTAAGTTAGCTTATTACGGTCCATTGTGCGAAACATCCGGTCCAACTGGCTTGGTGCTTGACTAGGCAAGAAATTAATTTATATCTAGATGAACCCTAATTCTAGCTCTTACGCTAAGTAAACAAGTGCTGTGCCGCCGGAGATTTCCGCACGCAATGACAGGAATAAACAGATTCGAGTACGTACACGTACTCTTACAGGGGAATCGCCAGGGGTTTCGCGTTCGGCCTGTGTTTGGTGTGTGGGACTCCAAGCTGATGCGCGGATGGCACGATGTCAGCTCCACTCACAAACGTTGTTGAGCCGTTCCGAGGTTCTACCTGAGCGTTCAAGGTTCAACACATGGACATGAACTATCCCATTGGTCATGTTCCTGTTCAGCCGTCCTTAATGCCTCGGACATACTACAGAGACCGTGACCTATTGGAGGCCTTCCCAGGGGGCCAACTGGGTCCTCTCGCCGAGATTAAGCGAAATTGATTAGATTGTACCTGACAGATGAAGGTGGCAGAGCTGAACTGGACGGGTCGATTGCGGCATGGACAACGAAGCAGATGGTTACCAGTTCTAGCATCGGAGATCCTGGTAGTGGGATCCTTTATCACCGAAATTCAGAGCAGCAAGAAATCCTAGCTTCCTAGACATTCCTCTAGTTCCCTAGCGTTAACTTTCATTGCGACGCTCCTGGAGAAGGAGTACAAGCATACGACCGGCAGAATAGGCCGCTAGCTCGTGTGGAAGGCTTTCGCAAGCTCTGATCCTGCGATCTGGGTGACCCGATGCTATATCGCCCATTTGCCCCCTCTGTTTTCCAAGGACACTCATGATCGTACCATGACAAGCATACCCCAGTTTGAGTGCGACTATGGCGGCTAATTCTCATCTGGGGGGCGCGGGCTTGCCTGATGTGAGCCAGGGACCCCAGATCTTGGCAGCTACATCGATCACCACGGCTTTTGCATTACTCACGGTCCTAGCCCGGATGTATGTCCGTGTGTTTTTCATCCGAAATGTTGGGCCCGATGTGAGTATAGGACAAAAAGCAGCCGGAGAATGGACACTGACCTGCAGCTAGGATTATGTCATGGTGTTGACAATGGCACTTGTAACCTCCCCTCCCGACGCTCTAGCAGCCTGGAATCTGACATTGACGCCCATAGTCACTCGGTGGATTTGCTGTGATAATACCAGAGGTCATATATGGTGCAGGAAGACATACGGTCTATGTGGAAAATACGGCCTCGATAGCGACACACCTGAATTTCGCCACTCAGGGTATCTATATGTGGGCAATCGGGCTCGTCAAGATCTCCATTGGGCTGTTTCTCCTCCGGTTTGCCCCGCGACGGGGCTATAAGATATTCATCTGGGTAGTAATGGGTATGTCATGAACCTAGCTGTACGCTGGATAATTGCAGGGAGATGGGAACTGCTTTGATTAGCTAGTCCTGCTCTGTCTATTCCATCAAATGCTAATGACTGGCAGTGGTCATGCTACTCTATACCATAATATGCTTTCTTGTTTGTCACTCCCGTCATGTATAATGAATCACTACTAATGATGGCAGACACTCATGTTTGAGTGTAAAGATATCCGATCCATCTGGGATGAGAATGTGAAATCACAGTGTTTCACATCCTCACAGCTCCTAAAATTGAGCTACACAAATACCGGTAGGGAACTTGCTCATGTTCTTAGGACATTGCTGACGATCCCAGGTCTGAATATTCTGACAGATATCATATTTGCCATTCTACCGGCGATAATGCTACGGTTTGTCCTCGTCTTAAACTGCACGATTTTCTCAACTAACAGCCACAGACACCTGCAGGTTAACCGACGTGTGAAAGCCTCGTTGGTCTGCATATTGGGACTGGGGATATTGTAAGCAACCAATATATCCCCTCCTTCCCTCATCATTACATCCCCTAACCAAACGTCAGTGCCTGCGTCGCAGCAATCGTTAAGCTCTCTGTCCTGCCCAACTATGGTCGCACCGGCGATCTCCTATGGGACTACTCTACCCTCACAATCTGGGTCGTGTACGCAAACCTCCCTACCGTTTATCACCCAAACTAACAAATCCACCACAGCGTCGAGTCCAACATGGGCATTATAGCAGGCAGCCTGCCCACACTGAAGCCCCTCTTCAAACAATTCCTGGGCACATATGGATCCCAAACTAAAACACGACGCTACACATACGGTAGCAAGAAGTACCGACTACAATCGTTATCCCCATCCTACCCACAGCCATCCGTCCGCAGCAGACCACTCAGCGTTCTGGACCCGGACGATTTGGATGAAGGCGACCCCCGTGCTGCCCAGAGAAACTCCAAGTATGGAACAACAACGACCAAATACCACTACCGCGATGGCAGCCACACCAGCGAGGAATACATCCTGACCCATCAAGAATCAGCGGGAATCGTGCTCACGACAGAGGTGGTGGTCACACATACTACAGCGGAAGAGGTAATACGAAACAACCGAGGCAAAAGAACACAGTCACCGAATGAGGAGGTATAATATTGTATACAGTCACTGCTACCACCTACTCAAATACCATACCATCAATACTTCCCTACTATCAAACCATATTTACATAGACCTGCCAACAACACTCCAATACCACATCTATCCCCAACTCACCCAATACAATGATTCATCAAAAATAAACCACTGCCCCCATATTCTTCGGCACCTCCACAACCACAGGCCCCAGCCTCCCCCTCAACGCCACCCCAAACGCCTCATCAATTCGTCGCGGCAACTCCCTCACAGTTCACAGTTCACACTCCTCACCCGCACATCCCACTTCGTACCAAACCTCGTCATCCCCAACACATCCACTTCCTAGAACCCGTCCGGATGGACTAATGAATTTACTTCGCAAGTGTGTCAGCTTGCTAGATTTGTGTGAACGTTCATGTATTACGACTAAATTGATCTTTGTACCAAATCAACAATAATATAAGCCCCTTTCTCCTTGAACAAGTTTACCGCCTCCATCTCTCAACTCCGTATCGGTCCCCCCCCCAAATTTGCTGGCATCGAAGTACCCTCGAGTGGTATGTCAGGTGTGATCGACATGACAGCAGCAACTCGATACTGCAACCAAGATGGCAAGGAAGACTTCGGCGACTTCGTGCGTAATGAAGACGAGGAAATGGACCTGGAAGAGGTTGCCGAGCCCTGAGAAAGATATGATAAAACGAGAACCTCGGATGTCTTCTATCCCATCCGCCTTGGAGACCTGATCAACGAGAGGTACCTGATAGAGCATAAGCTTGGATCCGGCGGCTTCTCGACTGTCTGGATAGCCCATGACCAACAATGTAGCAGGGACGTTGCCCTCAAGATTATGTTTGCAGGAGAATCGGGTGAAAGTGAAATCCGCCTGCAGGACGAAATCGTTCGGAATGTGCGTGATGCCTCCTCTCATTTTGTGACGTACCTGGAAACCTTTCTACTTCCAGGAGATGGATGTCACCATACGGTTCAAGTATTTCCCTTAATGGGCTCATGTCTTTACTGTCCGAACGTGATAAAAATGTCCATGACTACTCGCATGTCCGCTGCTCTGCAATTGCTAGAGGCGTTGGAGAGTTTACACGAGGCCGGAATAGTCCACCGTGGTGAGTGACACCGAAAAGATCCTGCTCTTTTCCTCTATTCGCCCGCATGCTGATGTTTATTTTTTTCTCAACAGACTTGAATGAGAGAAATTGTATGTGGGGAATGCAACCCCTCCACCATCTACCCAGGAGTGCCAAATACAAGGCATTGGGCCGGCCATTGAAGCAAACAATACCGGTGGACGATCTCTGGAAGGACGGGGAGCTCGTTGGACCTGCTAATATCCCCCAAAGCCTACAAACCCCAAAATTCTATCTCGGCGACTTTGGTCTGGCAAAGAAACTGAGCGATCCCGTGACTCCACGTGGCTATCCACCATTACAATATTGCTCCCCGGACCGCCTGCATAGACAAGATCCCAGTCCTGCCTGCGACATGTGGAGTTACATGATCCTCTTTTCGGAACTTTACTGCCTTGGTAACGTACCCTTTTCTACGTTTTTCAATGGTGGAATTATTGGTGGTTTCGTGTTGTCTTTAGGTCCTCTGCCCGAGGAGTGGAAGGGACTCTACTACTATACTCATCCCGAGAGCCGTGATTATTCCTGGTATGACCAGAACCAAACTCCCGATCCCAAATGGACTCTTGAGTCGAGAATTGCACGTTTTCGTCCCGATGTCGACCCAGTGGAGCGAAGCCATGTGCTTTCTATTATGTCTCGTGTGTTCACTTATGACCCGGCGAAGCGTCTGACCTCATCCCAGCTTCTGCGTGACCCTTCGTTTAGAGCTATCATGAAAAATTATGGTTGTTGATACCAAGTTTTTGTATGCTTTTCTCTTTTTCGTTTAGGGTTTTAGTGGGTGTAATTTCATCAAGTGATATAGCTGGCTAGATATATATTCGACGGATATAATATAGAATGCAAACCCGTAAATTTTATACTTGAAAGAAGGCCCGTAATATAATTATTTGATCATATGAAGGAACCTTGCCTGGAGATGTTCTACCCCTACGTGACCTGAAGGCCAAGGATAGCATAACATCTAACAAGGCTACTTCTTCATCTGTATGATCTACACTCGACTTCCTAAGCGAGCTAGCTACTCCGAATTACCTAATTGATGGAGATCGACATAAACCACTCACTTGAGTAGTATAGCTTCACTACTACTCCGTATGTACATGCCTACCCACCCACCTACCTCGTCATGTTCGCATACTTTCAGCTAGTCAGATCATCTTACATACATGGTGAATCAACCCCCATCCCAAAACGAGAATAAAGAACAGACCAAAAAGAACAAAAAGGAAATGATTAACGAATGGCACACGGTCATATAGTCGTCCAAAAGCAAGACTAACTCCAAATAGAAGACCGAATCAGGTAAAGATATACTGGCGCAATCAGAGCTTCGCCAATCGGCGCTCGAGCACTTGACGTGCGATATAAGCCACTAATCATAGATATGTAAGTAAATGCTCGTACATCGTCTGAACGTTAAGCAAAACATTATGTGTAGAACATTAAGCGATAATTATCAATAGATATTATGTTTAGTGTATATGTAAATTACGTATCCAGGGTATCGGGGTATCCAATTAACGTGGAAGCGACGTGCGGGATAATTCACTCTCGGTCTGAAGGGGATGCGGAGGTAAGAAGTCTGGCATATCAAACAACGATACGCAGTGGATAGAGGGGTTGTAGCAAGAAAATGACAGTTGACGATAGTAAAAAGAATCACTCACCAGCAGCAACAACAGTGGCACGAGCAGCACCAGACTTGGCACTGCCACCACCAAGAGTCAAAAAGTATCTGAGCCAGCTCAGCTGGACCTTCTTGCAGTCGCGGTCAAAGTCGGGAATCAAAGTAGTAGCCTTCTTGAAGAGCTCCTCCTTGCCGTTGTAGGGCGGGTAGCGAATGGCGAGGAAGCTTTCGATCCAGCTAGGGCTAGTGGTGATTGTGCGACGGTGCACAAAGACATCGAAACTGGCCTTACCCCGGTAAGCACCCTGACCGCTCTCGCCAACACCACCGAAGGGGAGGGTGGGGATGTGCAGGGCGGCGTCGTTGACGGCAACACCGCCGGAGCGGGTCTGTGACAGGACTGCAGCACGTTAGTAATTTGAAGTTGTACGGGTAAATTATACAGCTCCACAAACATACTCTTCTCAACTTCCGCCTTGGAACCGAACGGGTAGAGGCCCAGAGGCGTGGACTGGACGCCGTTGGCGATCTGGACAGCCTGCTCGACGCTGTCAACAGGCAAGATAGGAATGAGAGGACCAAAGCTCTCTTGTGTGATCATGGAGTCTTCAGGCGAGTCGACCACAACAACGGTGGGTTCAATGAAGCGCTCCTTTTCATCCATGCTGCCACCCATGACAATCTTGCCCTTGGTGTTGTCGATCATGCCCTTGATACGGTGGAAAGAAGCATCGTCAATGATATGGGAGAAGTCCGCAGAGCCCTTGGCACCCTGGGGGTAGAACTCCTTGTAGACCTTCTTGAACTCCTCCACGACAGCATCGACAAGCGGCCTCTCGACCAGCAGGTAGTTCTGCGACGTGCAGAGTTGACCAGCGTTCATCAGCTTGGGCCAGAATAGTCTGCGCGCGACCAGTCGGGGGTCGGCATTCTTGGAGATGATGGCGGGGTTAATGCCACCCAGCTCCAAAACAATGGGGGTGAGGTTAGGAGCCGCTGCCTTAGCGATGATGCGACCGACATTAGCACTGCCGGTGAAGAAGATCTTGTCCCAGCGTTCGGCCAACAAGGCCTGAGTCTCGGGGATAGCACCCTGAACAATGGTGTAGGCGGAGGGGTCAAGAGCAGCCTCGATAATCTGCTGGATGACCACCGCACAGTTGGAGGACTTTTCACTAGGCTTGATGACAACGGTGTTACCCGCTGCGATAGCGCCAATAACTGGACCCAGCGTCAACTGGAAAGGGTAGTTGAAAGCACTGACCCCATAACGGTCGCCGTTAGCCTTGTCTCCAACCCCAACCAAAACAAAATAGGGGGGGGGAGGGGAGAAATTTTTGTTGAAAATCCCACAGAAACTAAAAAAAAAGGAAAACATACCCAATAACCAAAACGCAACCCAAAGGATCCTTGCGGATCTTGGGACTGGTAAACTTAAAGGTGAGGTCGATATCTTCGGCCTTCTCATCCTTGACCCATTTGGGGAGATTGCGGCAAACGAAGACAATGTCATTGAGCAGCCAGGTACTTTCAGCCATGACGGCCTCAAAGAGAGGCCGGTTCAGATCGAGACGCAAAGCCTCATGGATCTCGTCGACACGATCCTTGATGCTATTGCGTGCAGTAGATTAATTAGCTACATATTAAAGCCATGCGGGGAGCTACCCGAAAGGTAGTGAAATAAGGTACTTTGGGACAGCAACTCACGCCCAGTAAAGCTTCCGGAGCTGGACCAGCCGGTACTCCACATCGCGAGTGGTATGCTCGTGGAAGGTCTTGCGGCAGCGAGAGACGCGTTCAGCGACCTCGTCAACAGGAGTATACTCCAAAGGAGGGATTTCAATGGCACCCATGGTGAGTAAATTAAGGTGGTGGAGAGAGAGGGGAGGGGATGAAGATGACAGGGAGGGAGGGAGGGAATAATGGGAACAGGAGGAGAGGAACGAAGGATCAAAAAAGGCGGAATTTCAGCCGAGAAGACTAGCAGGTTAAGAAGGAATCCGAATGCGGAGTTCTTGTTTCTGACAAGCCCCTGATTCTTTTCAGAAACACCCGTGACGAGTGCCTTATCTACTCCTATGAGTAATGAGTAATGGAATACGAAGGAACAACTGGAGGGTATGAGGATGTTCGTCAGGCCAGATAATATAATGAGCAGCAGCCAGCATTCCGCCGACCGAGGACCGGGTGGATTGGTGATCAGCAAATTCACCGAGCCGTTCATTTTTTAGGGGCAGAAAAACCCCCCATTGCATTCATTCTCCGGCCATCATCCATTTCCGGACACATGCCCTCCTTTTTCCCCTCATCTGTTCCGCGGCACAACCGAGGACATTTCCACTCGCAAGGTCTGCTTTTTACGAAGGGAGAACCGTTGTTGGCCACTGCTCACATGTTACTGACTGACTTATCTTTAATTAACAAATGACAGCTACGGGTTGAGTCATGCACGCGACCCACTTGCCTCGCAAGGGGTTCTGTTTGCGGATAGCTTAGGAGCTTATTTCCCCCTTGCTCATCACCCTCATCAACTTAATGTCAACGAACTATCACATTGTGGTATATACGATGATAAATCAGAAGCTAGCTCACGGGAACAATGGTGACAATGAACAGTATAGAAAAGAAAAAGCAAATATGCAGATCTGCAGTCAGCCACCAACTCACCCCCTCCATGATCAGTGCTTGAACTGATCCTCCGTGACACCCTTGCCCATAGCCGCCGTACTGCTGATGCCGCCCGTCACCATCTTCAACATGTTATCCACGTAGTTGGCACCACTCCATTTCTGGTGAGTCACCACATCCACTCCCTGCTCCATCTCCGGTTCCTGCACCAACTCGCCGTACGCCCGCATTCCCTGCTTCGCGTACGCCTTGGCGAACTGATCCGTGATGAGCGCCGTCGTGTGCAGACCCGCCAGGGTGATGAACTGCCAGCAGTATCCCAGGGCTCCCAGACGCTTGATGTACGTCTCCTGCTCATCGCGCGGCATCGCCTTCTTCCAGTTGAACGAGGGCGACAGGTTGTACGCCAGCCTAAAGGGACAGGTTAGTGTCAAGGTCTTACCAAATGCATATCAGGACCACACTTACTTCTGCTCTGGCCACACGGCGTGAACGCCGTCGGCGAACTCCTTCGCCTGAGCATAATCGGGCAGCTTGCTCTCCATCCAGATGAGATCCGCAAAAGGTCCATACGCAATGGCGCGGTTCACCGCACACTGGGTACCTCCCTGGTACCGGTAGAAGCCCTCCCGGGTGCGAGGGGCGTCCCAGTCCCAGTAGATGTCGACTCCAGTGATGTCCTTGGCGATAGCCCGGGCTTCGCGGTTGCTCTTGCCCTTGGCCTTCGTCAGGAACTCATCAATGAGGGCCTTCTTGTTACCGGAGGAGCCCTTATTGATGGTGTCGATGACAGCTTCGCTGAACAGCTTCAGGCCAGCCTGGGCAGTCCACTCGTCTTCAATGGCCTGCAACTCGTTTCCGTTCTTACCAGCCTGCTCCGCAGCTACCATGAGGTCGTTGAGGGGCTGGAGGTTGGGGTTCGTCGACCCCACGACGAAGGCGTGGTCACGGTAATCGATTGTGGAGGTGATGAGAGTGGCAGCTTCGGAGTCAGTTCGAGCAATGGCAAGCAAGTCGGTGCCTGAATTTTTTAAAGTCAATTGATGCTATGCGGATTAAGCAATTCAGGATGCCACTCACCCATGATATCCGCCTGCGCGCGGATGGCCACCAGACGGTTGATGTGTTCGCTGATAGGCACAAGCACCTTTCCGGCCATGTGCCCGCACTTCTTGGTACCCGGAGCCTGGTCTTCAATGTGAATACCAGCAGCACCACGCTCAACGAACAGCTTGGTCAGCTTCATCACAGCCGTCAAGCCACCGTGTCCGGTATCAGCATCCGCAATGATGGGGCGCAAGTAGTCCACATTCGCCACCTTGCCACGCTGCTCCTTGGGGGTGGTGATGCGTTCCTCGCGCTGTTTCCGGTCATGGAACAGCTGAGCCAAGAACAGCTGGTTGACCTTGTTGGGGACGGTGTTCTAACTCGAGTCTTAGCAGTGATCTCACAATTACCAACATCCTCTGAGACCTACCATGGGGTAGTCGGCAAGATCGGGAGAGGGTTCATCGGTGGACGAGGCGGTGGAGGAGCTCTGCCAGCCAGAGACGTAGACGGTGTCGAGGTATTTGGCCATCTGGGTGAGCATTGTGGGCTCGAGACAGCCATAGGTGAAGCTGGGTACTTTGTTCTGTGGAAGAGAGAAGTAAGCTCATGATTGACCTAACCACCACCACCACAGAGCGGGGACATGCGAACCTCGAAATTGCTCTCCAAGATCTTCCACAGCTTCTTGCTCATAGCATTGGAAGGATACTCAATCTTCAGGGTACCACGCTTGGCCACAATCTGCTCAGCAGTAAAGGGCCGCTTGGTGTGTCTCCATCTGGAGTCCTGCCACCACTTCTGGACAGCCTGGACATCGTCCAGATACTTCCGGTCTTCTTCTTCAAAGGAAGCCATGATGATGATGTGTGGTATAGCCGAGGGGGGTAATATAAGCAAAGATCTAGATTGATGCAAATGGATATAATATAATACAATGTATCCAACAATGTTCACATACAACCGACAAGAAAGAGAAGAGAGGAGAGAGTAGAGGGAAGAGAGAGGGAAGAAAAGAATACAGTCAAATAAAGTCAATCACCAAAGAAGAAAATCGGAATCACAAGCCAAAGAGGAAAACACCCAGCTACTTAAAGCATGCGCCATAATTCCCTCGATGCGTCACAAGTCATTGGGCCACTCCAGCACCAGCACAAGGTTGGTCGGTAAACGTTCGGTTCAGCGGGACAAGAAGGAAAGAAGGGCCCAAAGGCCAAGGACCAAAGGGGAACAAGAACAGTCAGCTTTGCCGCCCCCCGGAGTATCTGATTTTCTTGCAATAAAATGAAAACCGGGGGTGAGTCGAAAACAATTAGGTTGAACCAAGGGTTTCACAAGCCAAGTTTAGTGGAGGAAGGAGTCTCAGTTAGTGAGTGAGTGGTTTTGCTGGTTCGGAAGAGAGGATCGAGACCAGACGAAGATCCTCGGTCTAAAGGGACCAAGCCGAAAACAGGTCGCCACTCTGCAGTAGTAGTTGGAATCAATTGTATGAAATAATTCTACTTGCTACATTTTTATTTTCTTTCTTACGAGAATTAACTGGATACTTCAGTGTTCTCATCTCAACTCCTATAACATACTAGCAAACAAGAACCCACCCTCTTCCCCAAGGCTACATAGCATATCATCCAAACTATCAATGTAACTACCTAGCTACTACTTACCCCATAGTAACCATAACAATCTGAGTAAATGACGTTGTCCACCTCCCAAACATACCTAAGTAAAGTAAGCATGTGCCTAGCACCAACTGAACTTGACAACAACCACCACCTCCGACTCTACCCATTTACAATACCATACCACTCCCGTCCTCCCATCCTTCCATCCTCATAGGCTCAGTCCCCTCCCCCACCCCGTATCCATACCCCTCAGGCATCAATACAACAACGGGGAAAGAAAATCAGCCTCGGCATCCCGCCACCCAATCAGATGTCCATCTCATAGCCGATCCACGTAGTAGCTGTCTGTCCCTTCCGTATAGTCTTCTTCATAGTAGCCTTGAGGGGCCACGCAAGGTCGGGAAGATAAGGAGATGGTGTTCCGAGTATTTCTACAAGTCTCGTACTTGTTGTTGTTGTATGTGGAGGATTTCGGACGATGGCCGAGAAATATTCATCGGAAGTTCATGGATGGATGGATGAATGTAATGTAACTTGAGGAAGGAATGCGTGGGTTGTGTTTCGGAGATGAGTAGCTCTTGTGTTTTTTTTTTGTCTACAGGGATAGTAGGTTGTAGTTACATAGTATACTTGTTATTGTAAGAGGGTGTGTGTGCAGATCTACTCCGTATACAAACAAAGGTACACTGCTATCAACTGGGGTGGACTGGTTAGTATTCGGAGATTCAGGGGGCTGATGCATGGAGCTTTTCAGCTGGGCTGGGCTGGGCTGGGTTTGGGGGTTGGGGTTGGGGGTTTCGGGGCTGCGTGGTCGTGTGTGTGTGTGTGTGTGTGTGTGTGTGTGTGTGTGTGTGTCAATTACTAGGTCTACCTACGGTGTGAGCTTGGGAAAAACGGATGGATAATTGGGAGGGATGGATGTCTGGGGGGAAAAAAAGGAAATAGCAATATTGGGATGTAGGTGTTTCATTCACATGTGAATTTGTCTGTGGGAGGTCATCCCATTCATTCATCTGACAGTCGTACTCAGACCAGACCCTGGATTGATCTCCGATCGTTGTTAGCTGCATCTGCTTACGGGGTAAAAGGAAAACCATCATCATCATTATCATCCAAATCCGGAAGAATGCATTAACTACTACGTACTATTTCTCGTTACTACCTAAATCGTTTTATCGTGGACTTTGTGGCTGGAAACGCAAACCCGAACAATAAACATCAAAAATAACAATAACCCAAAAGAAAACGAACGCCACATTCAAGAAGATTCGTCACTTCTACTCGGGATATGTCCACCTCGGAATAATAACAACCTCCCTTCTCTCTCTCTCTCTCTCTCTCTTTGCATCAGCATAAATCAACTATAGAGTCAACTCAATCATAGCAGGCAATGCATCCTCTATAACCAAAAAGCCAAGATATCCCCTCGTCCAACCGATTCTAAAGCTATAGAAACTGTGTCCGCATAACCCTTTTTCCTTTTTGTGCAGAAAGTCGACAAGTGCCACGACGGGCGAAAACAAATAGCCGCGCTAAATGCGATCATGCTCTCTCCTTTCTTTGTCATCCTCGGATTCCAATTTTAGTAGTCTTGGATAGCCACTGCTTTGTTGTACGTCTCGTACGGCGTAATGGCTCCCAGGGCGCGTCGCTGATGGGCATTGAGTATTTCAAGTCCATACACGTAGCTGGCGTTGACCCATCCGAACCTAGAGAGATGACCGGGTTAGTGTTGCGTTCGCATGGTTATTACTCATTAGGGAGGGAACAACGCTTACCCTTCGCGGGGAGCCCCCTTGAAATCCACACCTTGGTTGCCGTACTCGGCATCCACTCGGTGTGGGTCAATAGGCCGGGTGACGTCGTACTTCTCGACCACCACGCCGTTGAAATCGACAAAGGCCTTGGTGATCATATACAGCCACTTGTATGCCAGACGCTCGGCTTCCTCTTGGTAGCCATAGCGCATCAAACCTGTCCACGCCAGCATCTGCTGGGGTGCCCATCCGTACGGGTAATCCCATTGCCGGTTAGGCCGATCCAGGCCAACGGCACCCCGAGATTCTTCAGTTCCCGAGACCAGGCCTCCGTAGGCCTCGAACCGCTTGAGGGACTGCACCAACTGCGATGCTTGGTGGGGTGTCGCGAGACCAGCCCACATCGCCCAATAGGTGGTGGCACTCTCGTACGAGGTGCGCTCCTGCTTGGCAGTATCGTAGTCGAAATACATTCCCTTCTCCTCATCCCAGAGGTAAGTGTCCATACGCATCTTTCTTCTGCGTGCGCGACGGTCCCAGACCGAGGATGACTCGAATTGAATATCCTGGGTCGACGCTGTCCGGAATTCCTGGGGGATCTCGAGTTTGTCCTTGAAATAGGTGCGGATGATACGGGCAATGTCCACCTCGTACTTGTACAACAGTGAGTTCAGATCGACGGTAGCCAGGTTGGCACAGACTCTCTCCAAACGGTAGCTGGTGTCATGTCCCGACTCTCGCACGGCCCTGTCGTGCAGGAAGTACTCGTCGAGCTCTGGCTCCAGGATCTTCTTTTCGTTGTAGGCCTCAACAAATTCTTCAAAGCTCATGCCGTGCTTCTCGGCATACGGAGTCAGAATATGAAGGAAATGAGTCGGCTCCGTCTCCGGGGGCACTCCTTCACCTTCGGGGCGATATCTGGACAGACCAGAAACCGGATCATATCGCGGCTCGGCCACCCAAACGCTATAGTACTCCTTGATTGCGGCAAGCGTCGCATTACGAAGGAAATCCATAGCATCAGGCTCGTTCTTTATCCGTTCATAGACACGCAAAGCCATGTCGGTCAAGAAAGGAGGCTGAGAACGCATGAGGTAGTACGAACGATTTGCGTTCAAGATCTTCCCGTAGTGCTTGATGCAGAAACAGAAGTTGATCACCATGCCTTTAGCCAGGTCAACTCTGTTGCTGACCAGCAGACCCAGAGACATCATATAACTATCCCAGTTATATAGCTCGTTGAACCTTCCTCCCGGGACCACGAAAGGAACTCCACTATACTCGGTCTTCCCCGTGGCTTCATCAACCTTCTTCTCCATGGCCAATGCCAGAAGACCTGGCTTGTCATTCAGTTTCCTGGTATACTCCGGAGTAATATTAGAGTCCAACAGCTGCACATCAAGGCGCAGCTCGGGATGCGCTTCCGCAATGCCCTTGTAGTACTCGAGCTGCTCCGGGGCTCCCGGAGGGACGTAGACCCGGGGTCGTGGGTCGTCTGTCCAATCCTTGGGATCGCGACCAGCTTCAGCAATATTATGTCCATCAATACGCCGTGTCAGGGCGTTCCAGAAGGAGTTCTTGATGAGACGAGAGAGCCGTGCGACAGGGTTCTCACTGAGACGGGCTTCATCGAGAACAATATGTTTCCGACCGTAGTCCTGGGCGATTGTGAGCTCCTGAAGGAGGTTGGAAAGCATATATGTTCCTCGCAAGTCGTATCGGTTGTATCCCGAAGATGCAGCGGTTCCCACGGAGAATACCTGCAAGACAGTGCATTAGTGACTCGAGTGGCCGTAAATTTTCGATATCCGACCACACATACCTTGGGGCCCACATCTTCTATCGTTATCTGCATGTTCCGATCTGTGTCTTCCCGCTCCAACAGACTGTGGAGCGTTGTGTCAACGTCAATGAGGAATTTGCGGGGAACGGCCGGTGTCTCATCTGTATACCCCGCGGGTTAGCCCACAATCCCTGGATAACATTTGGTAGATTGATCTTTCTCCTCTTTTAACGTACCATGACTCGCTCTTCTTGCGGGGAACTGGCCTCCGAGAAATTCTTGAATGTCATCTCGATTGAAAGATTTGAGAGTCTGTTTACAGGCGTGGGGTCAGCACAGCTGATTCTCAGCTTATCTTAGGGGAGCGATGGAATCCGGACGTACCGAAGAGAAGGCCCGCTTACGGTCTCTCATGCGAGCAATGTTATCCTCATCGCCATAGTAAACGTCGGGATCGGAGAATGGATCGAGAGACGTGTTGCGTCGATGCTGAGCACTGGGCGAGCTCATCGTCGGGAGATTGTGGGATGGTAGATAGAAGAGACGTTCGATGACAGGCCCGACAAACGAAAGGCTAGAGCGAAAACGGGGGATCCGAGCAGGGGTGGATGGATGGATGGGTTAAGGGGTGACACTGCGACACCAATTATTGAAGACGCTAGGCCCGTTCGTGGCGCTGTAACTCTTATTGGACTCGAGACGGTGCTCAAGTAATAAAAAAACACAAAGAGGTTGCTGCTCTTCGTACCTCAGACAATTTCGCTAAAGCTAGGTAGGATGGTAGGACAAACAGTAGGGTACTGGGTAAGTAAGAGGATTGAGAGA